TAAGATCGTGCCCATCAGATATTTATGCGAGGCTAGCTACAGGGATTCATGCTGCCAATTATTTGTGAAGCAAAAAATTCTGACCTCAGTATGCCTTTCTATTTTGGAAACAGTGTGTCTTATCCACAAAAAATATAAAAATCAATTCAATACCACCTCAACTTATAGTACACGTCAGTCGTACTTCATTTCCTTTCCAACACCTACTCTAGCCCTTACACAAAATTTATTATTTTCAATAACATGAAGTTATTTAATAACCTTCCCATTAATTTAAGGCGAATATATAATGAAAAGAAATTCAGGAAGAAAGTAAAAGAATTCCTTGTTGGGAGGCCCTATTATAGTGTGGACGAATTCTACCAAGGCTCTATCGAGTAATTGGCATGTAGCTTTGTGTAAACAAGTTATTGAAATCAACACGAAATGGCTATCAATGTTCATTACCTGGCATTATATATTTACATTTACTCAATACTCATATATTCATGTACTTATATTTGTATCTGTTCAGTTGGGATAATATTGTTCTGTCCATATACTCTGCTCTTGTACCTGAACATTATTTTATAGTTTGTTTGTTAATTGTCCCTTATACACGATTTACTTTACTAGACTTTGCCAATAAAATGTTCAGATCTTTGGTAATAAAGCATAATTTGATTTTATTTGAAAATGAGGTTTTGAGGTTTAATAATTAACTATTTGAATGATAATTATTTCAATGATTTGATGTTAATAAGTTATCACAAAACTGCTAACTTAAATCAGGTGATTCTTCAAAAATCAGGTATTTTAGAATATTTCTAAAAGTATTAGAAATCTAACTAACTTTCTATTTCCGATGCTGGCCCTTTTCACCTTGGACACATTATATTCTACAATATGGTATTCATACGATAGCATGAAATACAAGTATTAATCGTTGAATAATTCAAAAAGTCTACATACAATAGGTACATAGTTTAAATCTAGTAAAAATACACTGAAATACCATTTTTTAGAAAAAAAACAGAATATATTTTTTTACCTTTTCCACACTTGAGAATAAACGGTACACCATCCCAGCGTTCATTATTGATATGAAGGACAGCTAAAGCGTAAGTTGGTGTTACTGAACCTTCCGGAACTGTTTTATCATCAAGGTACCCTAACTTGGCATCACCTTCCTTTTCTGGATTACCTACATACTGTCCTAGGACTACATCATGCAATTCCAGGGTTTTCGTACACTTCAATACTTTAACCTTGAAAAATAAAAAATTTGTTTCATTAGGTACACAAATAGTATACCTCACATTTGTCTTGTGAATAATAAAATAATTCATTAGGAATCTATTTAGGAATCAACAGAAAATTAAAACATTAACCAGCATCATTGAAATTAAATGAAAAATCCATTTATCATTCATGGCCAAGCTATATTTCTTCTGTTAGTTGAATAACATACTGCAGACTTCTATATTTGAAAAACATTGATGAAGGAATTTTATATCACATTATTTTGTCAAAATTACAAATAATACCAAAAGACCCAAGTACATAAAAACTAGGATACAAAAAAAATTATCAAATTAGTACTTGTCTGCATAACTCCCGTATATTTTTGGGTCCTTCAATGCTTCAATGAAAGAACTAACTCTTCAACTAGATATTTCATTCACAAAAAATTGTCAATGAGAATGAAAAAACAAGAAGAACATAGGCTTTCACTGGCGGGAATCACGACTAGAGAGATTAAAATCAGGGCTGGTAGGTCAGGGGTCAAATGAAACTTTTAGTACTTGTTACTGTGGCAGACATTATCAGTGGTATATGACTTGACTGCGAGGACGAAGGTTATATATCCACACCTATACCACTCATGATGTTTGCCACAGTAGCAGCCGAAACGTGTGATACCACAATTTCCATTCGACCACGGAAAGCTCAAGTTTCTGGCAATGTCAACTATCGGGAGGATTTCATCGTTAATTTTAATAACAAAATCTTTCAGAAATTTCAAACGTTTAGCCTTAGATCCAATCACTACAGATTTGGAAGAAATTATTTGGAGACAGTGGTCATTAGATAGAGTTACTAAATTCTGTATATCAGTATTTAGATTGTCTATTGCTAACCTACTAATTTTTGGCTTAAAGGATATGTACAGTTGAGTGTCGTCAGCACAGAAATGTAATTGACACCATGAAAGGCTGTTTTTCAGAAATGAGGTATACACCGAAAACAACAGATAGCCTAAGATCGTGCCTTGTGGAACTCCGCCGGATTGATGTAGTGGCTGCGAAATTGATTGTTCAATTTTTACTGCTTGAATTCTGTTACACATATAATTGCTTAGTAAAAGCCTTGCACCATCATTCAATCCATTTTGATTCAGAATTGCTAATAAAAGGCAATAATTGATAATATCAAATGCCTTCGAGTAATCCAGAAGTACAAGAGCGGTCAGTTCTGCAGTATCCTGCAAAGTGAATATTTCGTCTTTAACTTTGAGCAAAGCCCAAATAAGTTGAAAATAAAATATGAAATTTTAAAAAGGGTGGCATTTCCACATTGAAAACAACAATATACTATTCGATAGAAAAATCCAGATACACTCTTTTTGGTTGATGGATCATATGGATTGAAAAGCAATAACTTGACGATGACAATGGCATACACACATTATATATTATAATTGGAAAATTGTTAGAGATATAACTCAGATGGCCATTCCAATTTGAAACCCAAATTTATATACACGACCTCATTTGTTTTGTGAAAAATTTAAATCTAGAAATATTACATTGGCAAAAACTGAATAATTTTGGAAAGCTTATGTCCAAAAGAGGTAATAAAATCTATTCAAATTTCAGTTACGGTTGCTCAAACAGGGACATGCTGTAGGTGCTGAAATTAAGTTTACTTCTCATGCTTCCAAGATTTCAATTGCAAAGTAAATATTGGTACTGATTTTACTGCCAGATAATACTTTCTTCAAAGTGGAGATATTATCACGTTATGAGCTGATATTCGAGAGTTTCCATCCAAATCATACAGAATTATCTTATCAACACTAATGTAATCTAGACCATTTGCCCATCAATTCCGTCTGAGATTCTTATCTTAACTTTCATGGCATGTAATTTATTCACTATTAGCCTAACAGAAAGCATCTTGTTACACAAAATTATTTTTGTATTGAATTTGCAGCGGTTTCATCAGACATATCCTTCAAGTATTGTATCAAACAATTGTTAGATTACAGCAGGAATGAGCTACGTTGTCTAAGAGGCCCTTTTACAGGTTACTGTTCTATGAATCATCATATGAAGAGACCTGCACTGCCTTTTTTGAAAAAAGATGAAACAGAGGAGCATACAGATACTTTGTGCCTGCCCCGTCCAGGACTGAATGAGGTTTTCAATATTTTCCTCTTGAAAGAGCATTCAGCAAATAAACTAATCTGATTTGTAAAGAATTTGGGAATTACAATCAACCTTCACGGATTGCAGTAGAGGATTGGACCTTTCTACTTACACAAACATTATCAAACTTCTTTTAGATCAAAGTGTTGAATTTTTTCTTTGAGGTATCATTTGTCACCTTTTATTTTATTTCTTATTGAAAGAAAGCATTGATGATCATCATACTTGAATGAACAGCAAAAAACTCAAGTAACTGAATTTTTCCCACCTTCTCATTTCTGATATCATCCGGTTGGCAAGAAGCAGGTTTTTCCATTGCAACTAGGGTTAGAATTTGCAAGAGATGATTCTGCATTATGTCCCTGATGATCCCAAATTCATCGAAGTAACCTCCCCTTCCCTGCGTTCCAAAAGGTTCCTTGAAACTAATCTGAATGGAGGCGATGTTGTCTCTATTCCATGTGGGATTGAAAATTCTGTTACCAAATCGAAGTGTCATCAAATTTTGAACCATTTCCTTTCCCAGATAGTGGTCTATTCTATATAGTTGGGATTCTGTGAATAGAGAGGCTAAGTGGTTAGAGAGTTTTTCAGAGGAATCCAAATCACGACCAAATGGTTTCTCGATGATAATCCGAGTCCATCCCCTAGAAAGTTAATAGGTCGAAATGTTAAAAGACTCCGCCCACTCAAGTCATATTTCGCTGATGTACTATTGACATCAGTTTGTGAGACCAATAGCTTCTGGGGCGGATACAGTTTGGTTTTAAATGCGCATCAAAATCTCATCTTAGTTGGGGCGTACTATACTCAACTTAATTGGTAACAATAGTAGGTACCTGACTCATAAATTGATTGAGACTTTCGCGGCCAAGATTTTCAGTGTTACGATTTTCGTTCGGGTTTGAAGGCCGTCGTGGTTTGGAACTGTATTCCTAACCTAACTAGAAAGGCGGGCTACCTGTGTCAACATAAATACAGCTTACGAATTACGAGTCATCGGTGAACCATCATGATGAATATACCTCTGAAGAAGCCAGCCACTCGTGCTGGTGGAACGTTAAGATGTAGTTCCAAACCACGACGGCCTTCAAACCCGAACGAAGATCGTAACACTGTACATAACTCGATTGGTTAATAGTGGGTAGAATTTGTAAACCAATTACACTCAGTTCTTGTACAACAGTTAAATTTCAGAATATGAATAAACTTATTGACATTATAAAGAATGTTTAACAATGTTGAGTGGTCAACCTCATAATGGTCGTTTAGCGGGGAACCCGAACGTTTACTCTTATTTATTTCCAGAGACTCCAGCAGGTTCAACTTCTGTCTTTAAGCTTCTACATGGAGTATGTCGTATATAGTGTTGAAATCGTGACCAACATACTGCATGTAGAGGGTAAGGGACATAATTTGAACCTGCTGGAGTCTCTGGAAATCAATAAGTGTGAATTATAGTGTTCCCTGTTGAATCATCAACCATTGTTAGCCTTTTCTTTTCATAATGCCAATAATTTTATTCATATTCAAAGAAATAACTTGCTGTCCAAGAGCTGGTTTATACACTACTGTTGTATATAAGAATTGTAGCCCAGTGTGTAATATTCACTTCTACTGAGGAAGCTACGGTGTTAGCGAAACGCGGCTAGAAATAAAAAATGTTTGTGAAAACTGTTCAACTATTATCACAGAGAGTATCACCGATTTAATTTGGAGATGAAAATTCTGGTATTGCTATGTAGGAGCATAAATATGATGTATCTCTTATCACTATGTCTCAATTAGTGAATTTTTACACTGAAAATAGTTCAATGTTGAATACACTTCGAAACTGACAAAAAATATGTTTTGTACCATCTTCTTTGATTGTCAATGGTAAATGAGTGTAAAATTCAACGATCATATAACATGGATTTGTCGTATTTTTTCAGTCTATGTTTAGGGAGATGGTAATGGGGGACTCTGCCATGACGGACTTTCTTTCCCTTTTTACTTGTGGTACACTTTATGAGCCATGAAGAAACCATAGAATCGGATCCTGAGGAGATGAACGTTGACTGAACAACTCCAATTATCCTCAGATATCAATTATCATCAGATCAAGAGCAAGGGCTTTTCAATTTTTCAACTTTTGATTTGATTTTTCAGAGATGGACTTCGACTAAACGACACCAACTTCCCTTCCTGTAACATTGAATAAAGAGCAGGAACTTATCAGTTCTCCAACTCTTGATCCTGTTAACAAACTAAGGATATTATTTGATGCAGCCAGGAAGCAACTTATCACCTCCTCAAGAGCAGGATATCTTATGAATTTGCCTTGAAGAAAATTCTTGAGCAATAGCAAGTAATTCCCTTGAGCAGGTCAGCAAATGCTTATGCTCAAACAAAGATTCAACCAAACCAGAAGTGGAAAAGCCCTGCATGGACTGAATATAATGTATTGTCAGGCATAGCTGACTTGAGTATCTATTGAGTGGTGGGTGAAGTTATTTTAACCTGAGTCTCCATGAAATATGTCACAGAATACCTACTTCCCAAGGCACACATTTGTGTTGCTTACTTACCTGACGAAAGTAGTCTACTATCAGGCCCTCATTACATTGAGGACAATGTACCATGGTCTGTCAACCTTGGAGAGAATAATTTTTCACAAGGGAATAAGGACCCTGATGGCAGAGTGCCCGCCCCGCCATAGACCGGATCCAATTTTCAAAGTTGGGCCAAGATTTTATCAGATCTAAGGACTTTTATTTGATCCTATGATGAAAACGTTTTTGCAGTAACACAATAAGCTTTTTCTTTTGAGGAGAGATGTGAGCGTTCAAGAAATTTATAATTATTACAGATATGATGACCTTAAATTAAGTGAAGAAAGTTGTCACCAGAATTTTCAGGCTGTGGTATATTGTGTACAGTATATTACTAACGTTATTTTTTTTTATCTATGGTTTCCATCTCATAACAAAAATTAAAAACAAAACAAGTAATGATCACTCTTCAAACTGTATACTTTCTGTGTTATTTAAAAACAGAAAATTAATATTTGACAACTACGAGTTTAAAATGTACTAACTTATTTGCCATGCAGGTATTCCTGATATGAACCGTGACATCCTCAAAAACAGATGGTGGCAGAGCCAAATAGAATAACCTGTTGGCAACTGGTCCCTTTTCGAATTTTGCTATTTCTTGGTTCAATAACTCGAAATCAGTCCTTGAGTTGTACTGTCCTGCCAAATAATAATTCAAACTCCAAAATTCTTCATAACGTGCCTTCTCTTCTGGCTTCAGGTTCATGTAGGGCTCACATTTTTCTTTTATTTCACTTATCGTACTTTTGCTCCTAGCATAACCGAAGAAGACAGTGTTCACAGGTAGGAGATTGTCTCTGAAAAGCCACCAAAGGGTAGGGAATATCTTCTTTCTGGCCAGATCTCCCTGAAATAAATGAAATGTAAATCCTATACAGTTTCAGGTTGAAATCTAGAGTAGAATTACTGCACACAATTTGTTGAGAAGAAATTTGCATTTAAATAGAAATTATTCAATTAAAAGAGGATTTTTTTTAATTGGTTTTTGGGAAATGACCTGTCAGCTTTTTACTTTTCCATCATTTTAAAGGAACTCTGATAGAAAAAATAATAATTACATCAATAAAAACTCTTCACAAAGACATGTAGATCATTCACAGAAATTTTGCTTAGATAAAAATTAAAGAAAAAATTCACGTAAAATAACTACTTTCAGATATGTGAACACTGAATTACATAGAAATCGCTTTTTCTCATTTCAGTCAGTATGGAATTGGACCGGATGTCATTCACAGAAATACTACACAAGGTAATATATGAAAGAGAATCGATTTAAAATATCACTTACAAGGAAAACTTTCAATCTCCACGTGTACTTTGGAGTTTTGAAAGAAGTGAAAATTTTCCTTGTATGTGAAATTTTTATATCAATACTCTTTCATGAATCACGTTGTGTAGATTTCCTGTACACAATATATTTTTTAATTCTACTAGGAATGCTTGGAATAGGGTGAATGAAAACTTTTTTGTGTAATCCAATGTTCATATTTTTGAAGGTAGTTATTTTAAAAGGATTTTTTTCTTCCAATCTGAATCTGAAATACATCTTTGATAATGATTTTAATTTGATTATTATAGATTTTTGTTTGTATTCACCAAGTATTCTAGGGGACAATGAATTAATGTTTTAGAAAACGAAAGTGATAGTTTTGGTTTTTTGATAAATGACAAATTTGTGCATTAACATACCGAAGCCCCAAGGGTGACAAAACAGTGTGGGTATTGACTATCAAAATGAGTACCATCATGATCCATATCCTTGGATTTTAAAGAGTTTCTGTATAAGGCCAAGCATAATTCGGCATTTTTTGCATCTGAAAGAGAAACACTTGTAAATCTAAAAAATATTAGATATCCATAAATTCTACCATCACAACCGAAGCTGCTCTCCAATTCCCTAATGCTCGACATTGTTAAACAATTCAACGTTATGCGAGAATTGTGACTGACTTGACCTAAACTCAATTCAACCTATATTCCCAAGTTGATGACTTTCATCTAATGTTCAATATCATACATTCAAGGTGAGATAACGATGAAATTTCCCGCTAAAATTCAAACAATTTTCAAATTCAACAAAAAAGTTCATAAATGATTAGCTATTGTTATATCTTCTGAAATTAAAAACTTTCAACAAGCAACAGGTGAACAGGTGTTAAAATGAATTTCCACCTTTCCTTCTTGTTCACTACTTCAAAACCTTTCGTTAGTTTGATTGGTTGCCGTAGCAATACAATCAATAGAATGTCAATTACATCCAATCACACTCCTTGTTCTTGTGAACAGTCAAAACAAAACATGACCAAAGACGTTAGACAGTGAAAATTTTGCTGCTTTTGCAGCTAAACTATACAATGAGCATGCGCATTTGAATTTTATCACAGAAATAGCAAGACTTGCTGAACATGAAAAAAATTCTCTAATTTGTAGGTATATATATACCTACAAATTAGAGGTATACTAAGTATACATTTCACTGTGTCATAATAATGTCTCTTCTTTCGTCGCCATCATCTCCTGTCTCTCATCTTTATCCTCCGAAACCCAGACTCCCCATCTCTTTCACTAACTTCATTTCCTCCAACATGTACAGGTACGTATTTCAGTTTAGTTTATGTAGTTCCGTCATTTCTGCACTTATATGAATAACTTCATATGAATAGAAAAAAAACGCAATGAATATAACATCAGTCCAAATTGGTACCAACGATTTTTAAACGCAAAAAGAATAGTTTATGGTATGATCAAGCATTGCCAATATTAGTTTGATGGAACTGTTTATATCAGATTCATAATTCACAATGCATAATCACAATGTATAATGCATAATCTTGAAGTTGATAACTTCAAACTTCAATGCAATATCTTTCTGTTTCTTTCATCAAATTTTTGTTACTTGCTCCCATTTGTTACGCAAACATACATTCCCCCAGTCGGTCCCCAATTAGAGAAATCGCATATCAAAAAGTGAGTCCTCAGTAATTTTAAGTTCGGACAACTTTCAACGGTTGCCATTCAAAGAGAAAAATCAGCTGGTTACGAAAAAAAAACCTTCTAGAACCACTTTTTTCTCTATTTAATTATTTTAAGGAAATATAGACGATAATCCCACGAGGAATTCATGTCTTCACCTTAACTCTCATATAAGAACACCTAAAAATTTGGCGATATTGATTTATATTTTCACATTCAAAAGAACATCACCAATTTGGAATTATATATCATTTACTGTTATTAGATTAAAAATTTTTCTTTTCTACAATAATAACATAACTAAAGTTATGAATTGTGCATTATTGATACAATTATGTTTACACATACAATAAATCATCTCTAAAATCATCAGTCAATGGTCAGTGAAAATGATCTATTACTTTGATGTCAAAATTGAGCATTTCTCATCAGTTTGCCCTTTTATATACAGGAGAGGTCAATGTTTGTTCATACAAATGAAGACTACTTTATCGAATTCATAAGCATAATTTTTAGAATAATTCATAATTTTACTCCACAATTCATAAGAGTTAAATCTTGCCAACTCCAAGCTAATGAGTTATGAAATATGTTATAATAAATATGAATCGAAGGAACAGCTCTATTGCAACTAGTGTTTTCAAGTTTTATGATTTGTACACTGAAATTATTCTTTATCCAAAAAAATATGTTTATGCATTCGATAGACTAATTTTTATTCGACATTCAATAAGCCTGCATGGCACGCCTCTGCAATTGTTCATTGAGTCTGGTTCAATTTAAAATTTTAATGTAGGTAACAGGCCCCTGCCGCGCCGCCAGGAACTTTAGGATCTATTTACTTTATCTGTTTTTTGATGACTCTGCATATTTTAGATAAAGAACGGCTTAGTGTATTTTTTCTTTTTTGAAGGTGAGATGTAAGGCGTTTTTGAAGTGCTAAGACCTTGCAATGTTTTAACATTTTCTCAATGTAAAGGCGAACTGAATGCATCAAAGCATTAAATGTACATATACAATTCGTTACATGTATTTTAACTATAATTTTTCCTGTCCATAAACATCGACAGAAGAAAGTAAAATACCTATATATACATAGACATCTACTTACTTTTTGGTGGTGGAGTGGCCATTTGAATGAATCACAGAACTTTAACTCAAAATTTAGTCTCGAATGGCAGCGATGTTTTGAATTAACCCAGCTTAAGTTTTTAGGCAAACTGATATGTTTTTATTGTAATAAACTGGTATTGAGAACTGAATTAATATAAAACGGATTTGCGATATCTATCTCACGTAGTTCATAATTGGTCAAAACTTAGATGATACTGTATCCTTTATGTACAGATGATGTACAGAAACTAATATTAAATTCAGTTATAACAGTGATAGGCAACTTTTATCATACAAATCATCCATAAAAAGGTATTCGTACAAATTTGCAAGTTCAGGTGCGGACGAACGAACATTGTAAAAGGGTATATAACAAATTGTGATTAACAACTGAAAACTTATTTTGTTCTGTATGTAGATTTATATTGATTAAAATTGAATTATATATAACTGTTAGTTCTCAGCTATAAGTTACAGATTTTAATTTACATTTTGAAATGCCCCGACATCTTTTGATTGGTAGCTGTATTCGTTGATTTCAGTGATTTTACTGTTCGAGGCTGGCGGTTTGGAATGGTTTGGAGATAAATATTAGTTGAAAAATTGTAGACAATGGTTTGAGCAAGGCTTCAAAAATTTTTCAGTAACATTATCTGTCTATCGACAGAACCATTGTTTGGGAGATTCAACGGCAAAACAAAGCATTGTTCATTCTCCAAGATTGATAGTTTTCTATCATCTATACGGCCTGTCATCTTGTGATTGATATCTCCACTATGCATTTGTTTGCATGTTGTCTGCATGCGTGACTTTTCCAGGTTTTGGTGATCCGATAGTAGATGGCTTCAAATTAGTGATCGTGTAGTGAAAATTTAGCTTCAATGCTTCGAACGTTAAATTCGGTAAAAATGCAATTTACAAGTATTCAGTCACAAACAGCTATTTCATTTAAATCTAATAATTGATTTTTCCTGATTGAAAAAAAAATCGTCGATGATAATTAAACAATTTTCACAAACATTTTTATTTCTAAACGCGTTTCGCTAACACCGTAGCTTCCTCGGTAGAAATGAATATTACACAGTGGGCTACAATTCTTATATACAACAGTATATTAGCAAAAAAACTGAAATTACAATGAAATAACATACAAGCAACCACCAAAAAAATTGAACTATCAACACGAGTTGAAAAATAAAAAACAATTATTAACAGAAATGAAAATTAAAAGATTCCAAACCAAGTTACTTCACGACGTTTCGATTGTTAGTATCCATAATCGTTTTCGGGTGATAACTGGACTTACCGATAGCCATCTTGATTTCGGACAGGTTGGAACCTGGCTCCCTTACTCTTTTGACTGATGTTTGTCAGAGGGACAAATGGGTCATGACTGATGTAGGTGATGATGGGATGATGGCACGAATGTCCTCAGACATCAGTGCCGCCCTTCGCGGTGTTCCCCTACCAGGCTGGGGTGGGATGGATGAACAAATTGTTCATCTTTTAACGGAGAACATAGGGGCCTCATTCGACAGAGTGTCGGGGCCTTCTATATCGGGAGGGGTCGTCTACAGTATAATCCATAGCTTCCCTAACTAATGGTGGACTTATTCCTCCGAGATCTGACTATTTATAGGTCATTCGACTGCTTTCACCTATCCCCTGTTCCCTCTCTGCGCTTCATTGGTTTTAGCGGGAGCTGACTGTTTGGAGGGAGTTGGCGTGTTCCGCTTGATTTATAAACCAATTGATATAGAATAAATTAGGGAAAACTGTTTTTATATCTATTCTACTGTATTGTTGTGAAAATATTTTATAGTAACATGACTGTATATATACATTAAGTACATCCACTTTTAACATCCGACAATCCATATTGGTTTGCATAATTTTAATTTTATTTAATTATCATGACTTCCTGCTCATTTTAAGCAGTTAGGATTTATGTACTATTATATTTAGGAGCTTTGTCAATAAGAATTCTATTCTTCAGATAATAAAGCATGCTTTGATTTGATTTGATAAAGGTTTCCATATGCTACGTATCTCTACGCTAGCTTGACTAAATGCTTTGTTGGACAACATATACGCGGCTTCTTTGAATTTTCTCCTAAACCAGTGTTCCTCTTTGTGGATGATTTCAGCTTGAGCCCACTTGATGTTATGTTGATGAGTCCAAACACGCTCTGCTATTCCGGATTTGCTGGTTTCTCCTCGCTGTGTGTGTTTCTTGTGCTCGGCAATGCAAACTTTCAATGACCTTTTAGTTTCACCGATGTATGATCCTCCGCACTCGCAGGGTATCCGGTAAATGCAATTCTTGGAATCGCAATCCGCGTTTGGTGGCCTGGTTTTCGTGAGGCTACTACGGATAGTGTTCCCAGATCTGCAGCAGGTCTTGATGTTATACTTGGACCCAATCCTTCTTATCCTTTCCGACAATCCTGTGATGAAGGGAAGTACAAGTACTGGTTGTGGCGGCTTCTCTTCCTTGTGGAGCTCTTGCTGTCTTCTAGCTAAATCCTGTTCCACCATCACTTTGGAGTAACCATTTCGTTGAAGGTCAATTTTGATGATGCCTATTTCTTTTTCGAGACCTTCCTTTGTATTGCAGAGTCCGAAAGAACGGTCTAGTAGAGTCTTGATGATTCCTCTATTAGTCGATTAATGGTGGTTAGATTCCTTGTTTAGATACTGTCCCGTGTGAGTGGGTTTTCGATATACAGATGTTTCCCATTTAGTGTCGGTCCTCTTCACCAATACGTCTAAGAATGGCAATTTGTTGTGGACTTCCTTTTCCATTCTAAAAGTGATGGAAGGACTTACGTTGTTGATGTGCTTCAGGAAAGTGTCTAGTTCTGCATTCCCATGGTTCCATATTATGAAGGTGTCTACGTATCTCAACCAGACTCGGGGCTTCTTGTGGGC